AGGGCGGCCGCGAAGGTGAGGGGGGATGTATGCAGAACGCTCGCCGCTGAAGCCGTTCTGGGGGTTGTGCTGGGAGTCGTTGATGTTGAGACGACCCATGTCGAGTTGTTCAGCCATGATTGCGTTGAGACCGGGGATGACTGATGATGTGTGTTTTCGTGTTTACGTAGTGTGGTTCGATAAGTCGAAAATTACTGTGTAGCAGACTTCGGCTGGCTCGACGGTGAGCGACAGACGAAAAGTAGCAGTTCTAAGTAACGAAGTTGGTAACTCGCAGGCGGGTGCCTGATCTTCGTTCTGTCAGGAAAGAAGGGAACGCCTCTGTCCTGAAAAAAACGACAAGTAAAGGAGCGTGAAGGCCAAAAGAAAGGACTTCACACAGAAAATGTGATGGTGAGGTTGTGTAATACACACAGGAGGTTTTGAGAGTGGGTGGTGAGAGAGGAGGGAGATGGCAGCTAAGTTAAAAAAGCGTCAGAGAGAACCCTTTCGAGCTAGACTTGTTCGGGACTAGTCCGTGGGCGTCCCAAGATTCCTCAGCTCTGTGGCGAGTGCGGAGCGGTGAACGTCACAGCTGCTGTCGTACCCTGCACCACGCTTGCTTTTCCATGCACAGACGTATACGTAGTAACATGTATTTGATGGTCAAAGATAACGGCGCATTTGCCCAGTGGTGTGCTTGTTCAGTGATTGCCATTGCATGGCTGTGACAAAAGTCGCCTCTTGAAAACGCATGCTCGCTTGCTTTTGCCACCCGCTGCGGCTCTCACCACATGTGAGGATATCTCGTGCTTGTCTAAGAGCCTCGCATTGACATCACCTCAGGAACTACGCATAGCCGGGAGTATGTATGCTCTGCTTTGCAGGAAATATCAGAGTGCATCCGTACACATCAAGCCCGTTTTTAGCAGATGAAACTTGAACAGTTTAACTACGATAGGGGGGATCAGACCACTAGACACATCTTGTAGCAGCACGCGAGAGACGACGGCACTGGAGATCGTTGTTAGACACATGCGCACTCAAGGGAGCATATCATAGCACAGCATATACCACTCAAAAAAAAAATAAAGCCGAATAAACAGAGAAATAATTCATATGTCATAGTGATCTATGCCATGCTTTTCTCTTTCAGCCCACCCTTTCTTGACCTCAGGAAAAGAGCGCAAACCATGACGATAGCCACAATAAAGAACAGCTTCTGACCCAGGGACAAGCCATCTGTAGAAGAACCAGAAGAGGCCAGCCCCTCGAGTTTAGGTCTGTCAGCAGAAGCCTTCGGAGGCTTTGCAATGCTAGCGACATCATCACCAACTTTGGACGATGTAACATCGAGATTGTCGCTAGGATCGGCGGGCTGTGCATCGCCATATAAATCTTGAAAAGGGACGCACAATCAGCAACTGTCCAACTTAAGGGAGTTGACACAATAGCAAGAAATGCGTACTGATGTCTAGAGTTCCTCGTGAATACCTTCCGCTGGTACCTCGAGCTCGCCGCTCTTGGCAATCTTGACAGTCTTGACAGGCTTGTCTCCCGGGGACTTCTCGACATTCTCAATCTTCTCTACAATGTCGTAACCCTCAAGCACTTGTCCAAAGACGACGTGGCGGCCGTCAAGCCAGCTGGTGATGGCGGTAGTGATGAAGAACTGACTGCCATTTGTGTCCTTGCCCGCGTTCGCCATGCTGAGGATACCCGTGCGGCTGTGCTTGAGCTTGAAGTTCTCGTCGGGGAACTTTTCGCCGTAGATAGACTTGCCGCCGGTGCCTAGGGTACGTTAGAACAATTCAATTGCTGCTCGAATATGGAGAGCACTTGCCATCGCCCTTGGTGAAGTCACCTGTATTGCTGTTAGTACGCAAGAATCTCTTGAAGAGTACATAAGGATGTGCACTTACCACCTTGAATCATGAAGTTCTTGATAACGCGGTGGAAAGTAGAGCCCTCATAACCGAAGCCCTTCTCACCAGTAGCCAAAGCACTACCGTGTGGGTTAGCCTGTGAAGCTGCTCAATGTGCTGTGGAACATCGTACCGGAAGTTCTCGGTAGTCTTGGGTACAGTCTTGCCGTAAAGGCCAATGACAATGCGGCCTAGCTTCTCATCGCCATACTCAATGTCAAAGAAAACCTGATCCGTGTGTCAACACGTTTTCTGCCAGCACCTAGTGCAGATACATACCTTGTGGGTGATCTTGGGGCTTTTGGCAGCCTCAGTAGTCTGGGCGAAGAAGACAAAAGTGATCGAGAGGATCAACAAGAGCGAGATGACAGCTTTCTGGAGGGAAGCCATGGTGCCTGATGGAAGACTCGAAGGCAATCGAGGGATTGGCAAGGGTTATATAGTCTAGGAAACCCCCTGCTAAGATACAGAGAGCGAGGCGGTATTGAAACGTGGTGTTTTAGTGCTGCCCGCACTGTCGCACCTTAGCTGTGCCAAGCTCTATGGCGTCCATATTGGGACTAGTGCAATTGGAGAGTTCGAGATTGGTGCGGGCATGTTGCGAGACACTTCACAACACAAATTAGTTATCGGAAGGAGCAACGCCATGGTGGGTTTGGAACAATTGCTGAATTGGATAATGCGCAAATACTGACATGTCTAGGTGTTCATCAATGGCTTCAGCTTCACGGAGGCGACCCTCGTAAAACGCTCTCTCCAGTCGTTCTATGGCATCGGGCCTTCGGTCTCGCAGCGCATCATGGCAAAATTCCATATTCACCCGTGGGCAAAAGTAGGGAGCCTAAAGAATGCCACAGTCATGGATCTCACGGCGGAGCTGGCCAACATGAAGATTGAAAACGACTTGCGGCGGCAGGTTCAGGACGACATACGGAGATTAAGAGACATGGGCACATATCGGGGAAGGAGACATGCAATGGGTCTGCCAGTGCGCGGCCAAAAGACAAGAACACAGGTATGTGTGGTTTGGGAGATGTTGAAGGAAGAGTTTGGGTGGAGGAGGAAGGTGCTAACGCCGACAGATTGCGACTGCACGACGGTTGAACAAGATCGAACGAGGTGGCACTGGAAGGGTGTCTATGTGAGGCGGAAGCCAATCTACACGTGTATTATATTGTACAGTCTGGCAACGCGAAACGGGGTTTACAGACTGCATAGAAGGAACATGATGACCAAACTGCGACTAAACACTCATGGATGCCCTTGACAAACGCCAGACGCCCGCTCTCGGGTGTCATGTCGTATCTGTGATGAGCTTTGTGCAAAAATGTGGGCAATTGCGACGAGCGTAGCAACTGCACTCAACTCTCGCACACTTGGAAGGATGCGGGGGTCTCACTTTGGGTATCAAGACCATTTCAATCAACTTCCAGATGATACTTGGGTACAGCAACGCGACAATGTGCGTCACATGGATAGCACATATTTATCTATAGCACAGTGGATTTGCCTCACTAGAGCAATTGTGCTAGGACCATGGACGTGATTCTCTGGTTCAGCAAGGCAGCTTGGTGGCCTGTCGAGGCAACACGTGTGGCGCGCTTTAATCTTACGGTCCCGATAAGGCATTATTGACAGGTCTCTTGGCACTGACAGTCGGGTGCAGGCATGCAGTATAGCGATATTGTCAGCTCGAATGTATGCAAAACCTTCCATTCTGAGACGCGAACCATGGATCTCGGCGGTGCTATAGACAGGAAACGGTCATCGGACCCAGGGAATAGAAGTAAGTTTGGGCATTTTGAGGAGTGTGTCACAAACCAGAGTCCGTGCAAACCGGGATGACGACGACGATCCTGATGAGATGAATGTTCCCATGCGCAGATGGAGTGGTGCTGACGTTGTCGATGAGATATATTTAGACGTGGAGAAAGGGAGATTTGCGTTGTTCTGCCTCAGGTTGCAACGAGTATTTGTTGGTGGGCATGGCGTTTCGACAGAGCTGCTGGTGGTGGTGTGGTGGTAGCAGTTGTAGTACTAGTAGTAGTGATGGTGGTGTTGGTGTTGGCGGAGCGGATAGCAGGCGGAAGAAGCCGCGCCGTGTCATGGGTGAAGGTCTACCATGGATGAAAGGGTGCAGCGCGTTGTTTCTTGTCGCACTCTTCTTCACGCACCCCGGGGTGGTACAGGCTCGGTATTAAGACAGCAGAGAGAAGGAAAACCCGATGGGCTCGGCCTGTCTCAGCCTTGGTTGCATGCACCCCCTGATATAAAGGACAAAAGGGAAAAAAGAAAAGAATGCAGTGGATGCAGTGGATGCAGAGCAGGCCAGACAGGCCGCAAGAGGCCTAGGCTGAGCGCTATGGGCGGCTCCCTGCAGCATGCTTCGCTTGAGCACATACACAGCGGGGTTTCAGAAGCAGTGCAGCTTGGAACAAAGTCGTACGATTGCTTTTGCTTCCAAGCAACATGTGTTCCAGCAGCCACAAGCACCGCTCCGGTGAGCACGCTCGCTGACTGTGTCCCGCTGTTATGTAACGTACCCGTACGGCTGCTATGTTGCAGAGCGGCACTTGAGCGGCAGCCGACGGCCCACCTAGGCTGCTTGCTGTCTAGCAGAGTGAGAGGGCACTCACACACTCACACACACACACATGCTGCTACTAGGACTAGGACTAGGACTAGGACTAGGACTACTATAGGCGGCAGAGTCAGGGACACGGCAAGCATCGTGATTACGCCACTCCAGGGCGATGCATACCACGCACATCCATATCCACGACTGATCGACGCCCATGCGGGGCTCCATCTCATTTCGGCACACACGAAAAGCTTCTTTGCAGTTTGCTGCCATCGAACTCAATCCGTGCGCCCAACGCACTCTGGCTGCACGCTCGCGCTCGCGCTCAGCCTGGGCCTGCGCTGGGCTGAGCCTGGGCTGAGCCTGCTGGTACTGGTGCTGCTCCCTCGTGCTATGCCGGTGCTGGTGCCAGTGCGAGCGTGAGTGTGAGCGTGAGCGTCGTGGTGCGTGGGCAAGGTGCCAATTCCATTTCTCAGCACACCCTCCCACGCCCGTCATCCACACAGCCTCGTCCAATGGCAGCCGTCCGCCCAAAAGGCCCCCGACTCGCCAGCAAATTGACTGCCGGCACCAACGACAGCAGACACAAGACAGCAGACCACGCGCACACTCGTCTGTCTGTTTGCGTCCGTCAGTGGCTGAAGGCCTCGTTGATAACGGCCAGGAAGCCACTGGCCCGCCGCCAATCACCGCCGCCCATGGCTCCCTCAGCCGCCTACACACCGAGCACCCCGACCAGGATGCCCACCGGCCCAAGCACTTCTCAAACTTGAGCGGACGCAGCCTCGAGGGCCCTCGGCCTGCTGGTGGAGGCGATCGTGGAGACCAAGCGCCTCTCGCTTCTGCAGGAACCGTGCTAGCTCTCCAAGAAGAGGCGTCCATGTCGGCCGCTCTGTCCAAGGCGCCTATGCTATGGCGCCGAATGGGCGTCGACCTTGCGACGCTCCAAATCTCTTCTGCTGCTCTTCTACCCCCAGCTGTTCCTTCTGACTGATATTCGTCTCATGCTGCGCTGGACGCCCAGCTGCTGACGACACTGCTGCGCGCGCCAGCTGTGCACTCACCAGACACCCAACGGCCCCCCGAAACACGACTAATCCCCACTAACAGGCTGTTATACCGTCCCCCATCCCAGTCGCTCGGCTAAGCTGGTTTGAGAAGTATGAGGACCAATGCAGACATGCTTCAGGAAAGATCCATGGCGCATCATCTCCCGGAGCACAAACCCTCAATTTACCATTCTGCGTCTTCACCGTCGCTCGCGAACAGCTTTCGCTCTCTTCGCGACGACTCGACGCCCTCCCACGACGTGCCCGCTGCGGCCACCCACCACCCCCAGAGCCCCCGTCGCAAGCCAGTCCCGAGCCCTCTGTCGCCCACGTCAACCACCTTCTCCACTACCCCAATTCCCTCCAGAGCACCCTTCCAGAACCCGCCCTATTACGACTCTCCACGCTTCGACGAACCGCGCAGCCCCCGCGAGAAGCTTGACGCTTTGTTGGCCGAGGAGGAGCAGCACCACCATTCCTCGCCCATTCGCCCAACCAAGCCAGCGCATCCGCCTACACCACCCAACGTCCCCACCACCCACATCACCCAGCCCACGAGGCCCTCTGCGTATGCAAAGCTACGGCAAGTCTCGTCTCCCACGCTGTCATCGGCTGGCATCTCCCCGCCAGCATCTCCCGTCATCATGTCTCCACAATCGCGGACAAATCGACCAGACACAGCAACGCCAACGGTACCTATCCGCAACCCCTCCATAGACTCAGCTGCATCTTCGCTTTCGTCGAGTGCTTCCCAGAACCGCCTTCCTGGCAGCCATGCTCCCCGGCCATCGCAAGACACAAGCACAGCGAATCCGCCAGACATGGCTGCCCTCATAGCGAGTGCAGGCTCGCCCGAGGCCGCCATGATGGCTCTGTGGAAGGAGAAGCAAAACACCTCCAATCACAATGCACAGCTCTGGCGTTTGGTTGAGAAGCAGCGTGCCATGATCATTGGGCTGCAGAAGGATTTGGAGCGAGCATTAAAGGACAAGGACCGCTACCGCCGAAAGTTCAAGGAGTATGTCGAGCAGGTGCCACCAGGTCCTGGTTCGCTGCAAAAGTCAGATACCTTCAACTCTGTTGTAGACCGTGACCCCAGCGAGTCGCCCGTCACCAGCGAGCGACCCGATGAGTCTGCTAAATCCGGTGATGCCAAAACGGGAGAGTACAAGACCTCGCCATTGACACAAGAGCACCCGGCACCACACCTTATACCAGACTCACAACTGGCAACATCGCCTTCCCAATCTACTCCGTCAAATACAACGTCGAGCGTGAACTCACCCACAGACTGCTCTGTACAACCCCTCAACCTTGCCACCAGAGGTCTCGGTCTTGACAGCGCCGTGCTCCAGCCTGCCGAGGTCACTCAACCGTCAGTACAGGTTCCGAATCCAACGACACCCCCACAAAACGCCTCAGATGCAACGCTTGTTCCAGACAGCTCGAATCTACAACCCCCCGAGATATCCCTCATTCAAGCCACCCCTGTTGTTGGCGGCGACGGATTCGAGGCATCCCCACGAAAGCCTTCACAACCTCTGCGCAAAGCTCCCCCAGCTCCTCTCAATCTCTCCAAACCCGTAACAACTAGCGCGCATCTCCACCAGGCTGTGCATGGTGACGACGTCGATTCCGACTATGATGATACGTTGGAAGTGGATGAGATACCCGTGGTGGAACGGGGGAGGAGAAAGACTCGCGAGGAAGATGACAGGGTGCGGGAGGCCATGTACCTCAAAGACGAAGAGGCTCGAAGCAAGTCGAAGAAGAAGAGCAGCGAGAGTAACAGCACACAGGTGATACCATATGAAACGGCGGAAAACAATCAGCCTCAGACATTCCCTGTGCCTCTGTCTCCGCGTCAGATCAATGCTCTACAATCGGGCCTTCCAATCTCTCCCCGACATCCGCCCGCGAATTCGCTGAATGCTCTGCTTAGCCCTACCAACTCTGACAGTTCTATGATGGCCAATCGAAGTGTTGCATCGCCCCTCCTTAGCCCTGGCCTCCCGTCCAGCCCACGTCCCACCGACCGACCTCTAGGATCACCGTTGCCGAGGAATCCCAAGTCATCACTGGCATCGCCGCCCATGTCACCGAGCCTCCTGAACCATTCAGGATCACGGACTGGCCAGCAGCAAGTTCCCTTTCCACCAAACACGCCTCAGTCGTACCAATCACCTCCAGTGAACCAGAACCAAAAGAATACGCAGTCAAGCAAAGAATCGTCAGGGGGGCTCTTGGCCGTACCAGGGGCGCAGACTAGTTCAGACTCAGGTTCAGGCAGCCCTACTTTGAACGACATTCCCGACGCAGAGCATGTCTATCGTGGCCTTGTTTCGGACCAGTACCCAGGGCTTTTGCTTCCTCCCAACGCTCTCCCATCTATTCAGGTCAAGGTATTTTCATCTAGGCTCCGGCCATCGCGCTTGAGTTTCTTGGCCCCAAAACCTCAGGAGGAGGACCCCGTCTTTATCCTTGCAATCTACGCTCGCTCCGACAACAAACAATTATGGCGCGTAGAGAAGACTATTGCAACACTCCCCGCCCTGGACTCTCACCTAAGATCGCTATGCGACTTCCAAGGGAAACTCCCAGATCGTGCTCTTTTCGGAGGTCATGCCCCTGCGAAGATCGATGCTCGAAGAGTTGCCCTCAATCAGTATTTTGACTGTGTCCTGGAGGCACCCACAGACGAGAGGACAGCACGTGTTGTTTGTGAATACCTGTCTGCTGATGTGATTGGTGCACAGGCAGGTGACAGATTAGCTCCGGAGCCCACTCCTGGACCGGCTGTATCGGCTGTCAAGAACCAGCGCAAGGAGGGCTATCTTACCAAACGCGGCAAGAACTTTGGAGGTTGGAAGGCACGTTTCTTCGTGCTGGATGGTTCCGAATTCAGATACTTTGAGAGTGAAGGTGGCGCCCACCTAGGTACCATCAAGTTGCAAAACGCGCAGATTGGAAAACAATCACAACAACAATCCACACAGTCACCACAGCGAAAGGATGATTCTGAGGATAATCAGTATCGACATGCCTTCCTCATTTTAGAGCCAAAGCGGAAAGACTCTTCGAGTCTCGTTCGTCATGTACTGTGTGCCGAAAACGACGAGGAACGAGATGCCTGGGTTGAAGCACTTTTGCTGCATGTTGAGATCCAAGAGGAAACTTCGCCAACTGAGGCTCGCGCTCCTCCCACCTCGCGTTCTCAGAAACAGCAAGCCAGCCAAGATTCGACACGTTCACAGCGGAGAGAGAGCCCTGATGTAACGGAACAGGACCGTGTACAAGGTCTCAGCTATGAAGATACAGTGGCAGCACAAGCCCCGATCCGCGGGCCCAACCATCGAGAAGCATTGGGAGAGAGGCCTTCGCGAGGATCACCCAAAGACACGAGCTTTCTACAAGACAGTTCCGGCCATTATCACTCCATCTCTGGTCCGAGCAATGGAACCCCCATTAAGGACGCTGAGAATTGGGGTGCTAGATTGACGCCAGCACCCACAGCCGCAAAGGACAAGAAACGCAGCATATTTGGGTTTAGAGGCCGTGGTGGCTCTTCGGATTTGGCACCTGTTCAGGTCAACACTCCCCTCCTCCAGGCGCCTGTTGAGCACCGAATACCTCACAACCGCAGCATTTTTGGTGTCCCACTCATGGAAGCGGTGGACTACACCCAGCCCGAAGGTGTCAATGTTCCTTTACCAGCAGTCGTCTATCGATGCTTGGAGTACCTCCGAGCCAAGAGGGCAATAAGTGAAGAGGGCATTTTTAGGTTGAGCGGGTCAAATATTGTCATCAAAGGACTCCGCGATCGTTTCAACACTGAAGGTGACATTAAGCTGCTGGATGGGCAATACTACGACGTCCATGCCGTTGCTTCGTTGCTGAAGTTGTACTTGCGAGAGTTACCATCGTCCATCCTCACTCGGGAACTGCACTTGGACTTTCTTAAAGTTCTCGGTAAGTCGCTGATGGGATTTTTCTGTGAAGCACAAGACGTACTAATGCGGATTAGATATGGATGAACGAAGCAAAAAGATCCAAAGCTTCAATGTACTCGTACACAAACTCCCCAGACCCAACTTTGAGCTGCTAAGGCACTTGTCATCGTTCCTCATTGAGATCATCGACAATTCGGCAGTGAACAAGATGACGGTGCGCAACGTTGGCATTGTATTTGCGCCCACGCTCAACATCCCGGCACCGTTGATCTCGTTTTTCTTGACCGATTTCCCTGACATCTTCGGTACGGCTCTCGACGAAGCCAGTTCCCCAATTCATGAGATCCGAAACGACACATCGCACTTGGGTGATGATGCGATTCGGTCCCCACGGCGGCAGATGTTTTCGGAGCTCCCAACGCCTAGCTACAATGACACGAGCTTTCAGCAGCGAATGGACCGGCCAGGTCAACACTACCAAAGCAACAATGCTCCGGCCTATCCACCTCCGCAGCCCCCTCCACAAAATCAACAGCAACAGCAAATGCAACAGCAACTGCAGCAGCAACTGCACAACCAGCAGGGACAGGGACAAGGACAGTACAATGGATATGACTCTGGCTTTATTCCAATGAGACCTACCTATGAAGTACCAGCTTATGAGCAAGCATATCGATCTGGAGAGGGATATGGCAGCCTGAATGGAGCAGTGCAGTCTGGCAGTGCTCGAGAGCAACGACAGCGGAAGCGAGAGAGCGGGATGCTACTCATGAACATGAATATGAACATGGGCGCGCCTCGCAAGGGTTCAGCTGGGTCTAATCCACCTAACCGCGGAAACTACCAATACAATCCTCTAATGGTTCAAGAAGAGACGGCGTTTGACTGAGCAGGGGCTCTGGTCAAGTAGCGAGACGATGATAGATGATGATGGACTTAGGTTTTTGTCTAATATTCTACCTTCTGATTTGGTTTCTAATACCGGAGAACGGATTGGATTCTTTTGTGGTTCATTGCATAGGGCCAGAGGACCAGGGGTTACGAGTCCTCTTACTCGACGATTTATTGGCGTTTTCTTTTCTTTCACAGCGGTTAGACACATACCACTGACCAGGAGGTGGAGGTTTTGTTGTCTTTTATTTTTTTTTCTCTCTCAAGTTTCCTTGCTCTCTGCAGATGGAGCTGTCTTGTTGTGCAACAAGATAGCTTAAGCTTGGGCGTTGGAGCCGGGCACGTTGTTTTGGTTGGCTTTGGTTGAGATATCCTGGTCATTCTTGTTCTCTGCTCGGTCTTGTAGCGCGTGTAAATGGATTCAAGTTGATGGTTTTGGACATGATAGCGTTTTTTTATAGCGAACACATGGCAAAGGCCATGTATATAACCATATAACATTTTCTATTCTGAAATCCATGGTTTTGACTACTATTGATGTTCTCGTTGGATGTTGTGACATGGTCAACGCCGAAAGGGTGCTCATGATGCGATGGCGTACCATGGACGGAGCTGTGGGCCTTAGCGTCAGAGCTCGGGCTCACGATGCGACTGCCTCGTCGCCGCCATGGCTCTCCGTCTTCGCGATTGACATGCTGCCGTCGCTGCTGAGCCTCCGATATCCCCACATTTCCCTGACTTCCTTTCACTTACCGACGTTGGCCATCTGAGGAGACGCAACACGACTTCAGCGCGTCCCAGGGTCGATTCCATCCCCGTTCATCGCATCCCGCCGCGCATCCAACATAGACTCGAGACAAGCAAATAGAGAGCGCTCTCACTTGGTTCACGCTATCGCGCCTCCACCATGGCTGACACGCCTGCTACTCCTGCGCCATCTGGGGCTGCTGCCTCTGCTACAGCCTCGACCCCAGCGACTACCCTACAGCCCCCTCGCATTGAAGAACCCGACTCTCGCAACAGCTTACGGCATATTTTGGCTGCTGACCCGCAAATGGACGATGCGAAGCCTTCAACCTCGCAAGGGAACACACCTGCCCCAGAAGGGAGCGAGGCTGGTGGTGATGCGCCCGAAGCATCCAAGCCAGCTACCGACAACGATCCAGCGCGCCCCTACTATACGGCCACAACGACTACTACTCGTCGCAATGCAAACGGAAGCGTGTCGTCCGTCTATAGTGGCAATAAGATCAAGCACCTCAAGAAAGACGATGGCATACCGTTGTGGCGCAAAGATATTCAGTACGACTTCCTCAAGCTCGTCTTTGAGGACGACAAGCGCGTCTTCACCAAACAGTCAGACTCGACCAGCGGACATACCTTTGCCGACATCTATCTCGATGCCATGGCCAAAAGTAGCAAATGCAGCAAGATTCTGAAGGATAAGCTGCTTACAGAGCGCCCAGCCGCAATTAACATGGCCATGGTCTGTCTGTTAGTCAATGTCGGGCGTATGAACACAACGTTGAACTGTAGGAAATTAGAATCCCCTCTATTCGCTCTTGTCTAACATGCGGCAGTCTTCCCCGAAATGCGCGCCCAGCTACGAACTTACCACTCGATCCCCTCCCTTCAAGCCCACCAAGACCCCAACGCCTATAAGCAGCTGCAAGATGCGCCGCGTCTGAAGTCTATCCTCAAGGGTGCCACCGAAGACCAAGAACAGCCCAGCACCATTGAGGAAATTATGGCCGCTACCGTTCCACGTACAAATCCTGTAAACCTCATCTTCGTCCTCTCGCAGTATGCGCCCAAGATCTCAGAGCTACACTTTTTCCCGCCGCGCGACTTTTTCGACTTGGTCATGCGTTCAAACTTGAGCAGCAGGAGCAGAGCCACGGCCTTTTTGTGGCTCATGTGGTGGTATTTGGAAAGCGACTTCACCAAGGAAGCCGCCGAGGGCAATCCTTTTGGGCCTGGACAACCGGGACCGGCAGATGACTCAACTACGGCCGAATTTCCTATCAAATGTCCGCCGTTCGAGATTTTGACTCCAGAACAAGAGGCTTTGGAGAATGTCGACACGCCTGATGAGCAGGCGTTTGGTGAGGTCAAGCGAAAGGAGAGAACGGCGATTCTAGCAAGTGACATGGCTCCCGTCGTGACGGGCCCCAAGCGCACCAACAAGAAGGGTAAGTGTCCATGATTTGTCTTGTTCAAGTCCGACAAGGTCTGACTTTTCTGTAGGATTCAACCAGAACCCAGTTTTCTCAATTGCTGCCGACGATGGCACTTCAACCCCTGGGAGAGACCGACAATCGCCGTCACATGGTAAGTTTTACAGCATATCAGATCGGGGATATCTCAATCTAACAATGATAGGTTCTGCACGAGGGCGTGGCAAACTTGCCAAATCGCTTATCGAACGAGACTACCCATCGGATACCGACCGTACTCGCTCGGCGTCTCCTCCGAACAGCGTCTACAATACGGCCAAGAAGATGGCAACACCAAATATGCGGATAAACACACTCCTCAACGAAGATGGGCCTGCATCAGCCTCGCCTGCGCCCAAGGGCCCTGGTCGGGGTAACTGGTCTCGCAACAGACAATCCGGTATAGGAGCCAGCGGCGGCCCAGCAGCCCGCAGCTTCAAAGCCAAACTCGACGCAAACAACTCGCAAGACGGCCAGTCGCCTTCAACCTCGGCCCCAACCTTCAACGGCCCCCATGGCTTCTACCTCCCCCTGAACGGCTCCGACCCCTCGCACAAGCGCACAAGGCCACTAACTCAACACCAACTCGCCGTGGAACAATACCGCCGCCGCCGCGTCGACGTGATCCTCGACCGCGGCATCCGCATCGAGTACAAAGCAGCCGCCAAACGGCGCCACAAAGCCAACTCCTTCATCCGCAGCTGGATCCGCTGCAAAGGCATGGCAGACGGCTATGACACGGACGAGGAAACATACGCCCAATACGGCTCCTCGACCGGCCTCCCGGACCCAGATTACCCTTCCTCCACCACCGCAGCCACCACTACAGGTGTAGGTGGCGGCACCAAAACCCCTCCCCCAATGCCCTCTGGCCTCGTACCCCTCGACTTTGGCGGCGAAACAAACGACTTTGGCGAAGAATCTTATTTCCGCGCTAAAATGCTGAGTCGCGCCCTGCGTCGCCTCGAGCGCTGGGAAGAAGGCAAGACGGCGGCGCCCCGCGCCCGTAGACCAAAGGGCGAGCTCGGCAATGGCGTATCGACTACAAGTGCGACTGCGAGGTTGGAGAGTGGGGATGAGGACGATGACGATGAGGCCGAGGCCGAGGATCTCATGGATGTGGATGAGGGCGAGGAGGCGAGTGAGGATGAGAGCGAGGATGAGACTATGATTGATGCTACTGTTGTGTCGAGAGTGGGGAGGGTTGCCTAAGCATGAATGGCTTTATTCTCTTACTATTTCTCCCTCTCTCTCTCTCTCTTTTTTTTCTCCTTCTTTCAGGGTCTCCAAGGGTGTTTATGTACTATATATATACAGGATTTTCCTTTTCTCCTCCTTCTCCTTCTTCTCCTTCTTCTCCTTCTTCTCCTTCTTCTCCTTCTTCTCTTTGTTGGAGACAAGAGCATGGCGTTTTGGGTTTGAACTTTTTCTTTTTTTTGGTAGCATGGGAACAAAGTAGCTGGTTTGGTGTGCTTTTAGTTAACATTCAGGGCAAAAGGGGGATATATATATTTGGGACAATACAGTATGAGTTGGGGAGAGGGAGGGAAGGCTGGTCGTAGCAACACAAATAGTATATCTTTTTTTTTCCGTCACACATGATAATCAGAAGGCTTGGATTGCAAAATATATATCCTTTTTGTGCATGATAGTAAGGTTGAATATAAGTCATACTATTTTCTGTTGTTTCTCAGAAGCCGAGACCTTATTTCTATTGCAGTCATACAAATATCGTCATGATCATAATCATCATCACACGAAAAACCCACACCCTTTTACAAGCCAGTCAGTCCATCCAATAGCGCCGTCAACCCGCCAACACCCAGCAGCGCTCCGGCCGCCGCTTTCCTCCCTGTATGACTCTTCTTCCCACCACTACCGTACTTGCCACCGTCGCCATATCGATCTGTGTATCGAGATCGACTCCTCTCGCGGTCTCTTCTGCTGCGTCGTGGCCGGTCGAGTTCAGATTCTGACGTCGTTAGGTCGTCGTCGTAGCGTCTGTTTGATGCAGAAGATTGTGGGCCGGATGGGTAGCCGGGAGCGAGGTTGTTCATGTAAGACGAGCGGAGAGGGGAGGCTTGCATTGGGTGATTGGTATTGTAAGATGAGTTTGAGGGGTGGAGGTGCGGCGGGTGTGGGGTAGTGTTGTTGGGATAAGGTAGTGGTATATTTTGCGCTGGCGATTGCGGATAGTAAGGTGGAGCACTAGTATTTGTCGGTTGGGATGGGTAGCTGCTCGGTTGGGTTGGATAATAAGGGTTTCGAGGGGACTGAGGTGGTGGCGGGTGATGTTGGCCATACTGCTGGCCTGGAGGTATCGGGATTTGTAGGTTTGGCGTGCGTGCGTTTAGGTGCGTTTGTGGTAGCGGAGGAACAAGACCTGGGCCTGGTGTGGACATTGAGCGATCCAGAGGCGGCGGTCCTGCAGGTGGAGGTGGGAGTGTAGAGTTCAGAGAGCTGGTCGCACGATGAAAAGGCGGATGCGTGTTTCGAGCTACTGGTGTGCGGTCTCGGTCAACCGGGTTGCTCTTCTGTGCCATAGGTGATGGTGGTGCCTGCCGGTGAAAAGATGAAGTCCTTGCCTTGGGTTCGGCCGGCGGAGTAGGCGGCGCATTCTTTCGATATATCTCAACTGTCCGTTCTACGAGACGCTTGACTTGGTCGAACTGCAGCGGCCGCTCAATGCAGAAACAAGTCTCAAACTTTGTTCTCCTACCACTTCTTCTCTCTTTCTGCACTTGAGTGTATGGTAGCCGCGCTTCTTGAATAGCTTCTTTGCATACCCAGCTTGCCATTATCTCAGTCCAGCTATTCCGCTCCGAAAAGGCAATAGACGGCGATTGGTCAGTATTTGAACCGACTTGCCTGGCATCGATATATCTCCAATAGTACTTTCGCGTGCATAGCTTCCACGGTATCTCAAGATCCACGTCGACTTCTTCTTTGGCTTCCATAGCGGCGGCAGCCTCAACCGGGAGACTTGCCACACTAGCCCTTGATGAATCAGATGAGAGATTCGTATTAGAAGTGTGGGGTGTGTCAGTGGGAGTTGGTGGTACTTGAGAGTTAAAGTTTTTCTCAGACTCTGGACTGGGTATGTTGTTTTCCATGAATAACGGCTGTGTGTCTCTCGACCCGTCTGATTGTCGTTTGCTTCCACCCGAGGCCCTAGATCTTCGAACCTGCTCTTCTTCACTATCCGATTCAACTGTAGCTTGTTGAGCCTGCTGTCTCTGCTTCCGTTGTTCAAGTTCCTCATCTTGAAGACGCCTCTCGAACTGAGGCAAACTGGTCAATCGTTCGAGCAGGTGTTCACCATGTGATGCGGATGTGCTGCACACGGAAAGGAGTCTCTTAGATTCTGTGTGTGCCGACGTCGCGAGGCCATGTAGCCCCTGATTCTGATATGGATAGAGGTGAGACGGCGTGGGTGGTTCATCCCGCTCGGCTTTGACCAAACTCTGTGAGCTGTCGTCTTCCATCAACAAGCGCGCATCTGACTGTGACGCATTTTCGAAAATTTTAGAGGCGGCAAGAATCGATAATTGTTGCTGGATAATAAGGGTCTCGAGTTGCGTCTTTTCGTTGTCAACAACTTTAGCTGCTTGTTGTGGTGATACTGTAGGACGTAGTCTAATCCATTGTCAGCCCTTGTTGTTGACCAAATCTCGACGTGTTCATCACTGCTTTAGCAAGGGGGTACTATGTGGTGTTTGACTGAATGAGTGACCAAGGTGGCCAACTCGTCTGAGGAAAAAGGTATCGATTGACTTACTTCGACCACATGACACTCTGCGCGGTGTACAATGTCTGCAGTAACACCGAAAGAGTAGTGCTCAAAGCCTCGAGATGAGCCACCAAATAGGCCAGCCTTGTTGCCATAGACGGTTCTGATAGCGACCGACTATCCCCTGCATAACGAGCGCTATCCCTTCGATTATGGTGCCGAAATTCCTCTGTCGATATGGCCGATTCGAGGCTACCCATAACATTCTGTGACTGTTCTATTACATCGTCCAACATGTCAAACGCCTGTATAATGTTAGTTTCAGGGAATAGAAACCATTTTTGTTGCCATGAAGTCCGAATTCTAGAGGGCTGTCTCTGCCCTGTAGTATGATGGTCGATATCTATACGACGAAGTCTTATCGACGACAGCCTTGTAGGAAGTTCGGACACTATATGGCCAGCTCCTCGGAACAAGTTAAATTAGAGCCTAGACATACCTCTGGCGATGGCAACCGATCATCCTCCTTAATGATGGTGCCGACTTGCTTGAGAATACTGGCGAATCCATTGATCCCGTTTGCAATCTCAACCAGCTCTTTTGCCGCGTCAGGTGATGTAGCAGCTGTCTTGAACAGATCCAACGCAAGTGCCGAACTCCTCGAAACCACCGGTAAAATAGCTGCGAGTACTGCCATGCTCGCCGGAATGTCGAAGTGCAGTGTGTCGAAAGGTCAAAGGGAAAAAAGCGTGGCAATCGAGTGTTGAAGTGGAGCCATGAGCGGCAGGAGTAGAAGGCAAAGTGGTTTGACATGTATCAATGTGTCCCTAGCTAACCACTATTTCTAGCTTGTGTGAGGTCATAGTGTAGGTCCAATGCAGGGCTCAACTGACCGACGACCAAATCCGGCGAAGATCATAGCCTGCTGATTGGCCAAATGCCCTGGCAGAAGTATGCATATACGCGAACCGTTGAATTTACGCATCCATTTCCAAAAGGCTCGGCAAAAAATCAGCGCGCGGAACATGCATGTCATGGATACGCAGAGGCTGTGCACTCTCGTCATGGTTTGCGACGAGTATCTTTCAGGCGTTGCTTTGGCCCGCTTCTGGAACCGTGGCACTCGACGAAGCCAACTCCTGCAGTATGCATACATAGGTGTGCGTCCAAAATTAGGAGCCCAGAATATTTGCACACTCACACTGTGCCCTGAAGCATTACTGTGTGTACTCATCAGAGGTCCCCAAGAGCGGCGCCAACAGTGTGGCGCAGGACGCCGGGTATGCGGACGAAAATTGGCCACATGATGACTGTTTGAACCTCAAGCTAAGGGTAAGTGTGCACACCAACACAGGGTGACAATGAGACTGTTGAATCTGCCTCGCGCTCCCTACATGTTGCATCCGTAAGCGTTGTGTTCCTGTAGGACCGGTGAAGGCCGCAGTCGTGGCTGTTCATAGACTATATAAGTCGGGTGTCTGCAGTCTTTATACGCAAAAGGTCCGAACATGTGTGCGTGCCGTATTTCGTATCGTGCGCCCTGTGTAGGATTGCCAATGAGAATAGGCGGCTAGGACGAGTGCATGGCTGCATGTAGCCGACGGTAGACGGGATGGCAGCCATGTTCATGGAAGAAGAATGCGCAGGACGAGTGTCGTACGCCAAGTAAACACTCCGAGTGCTTTAGGAAGCGGCCGGCCAGCGAAGACACGATAAACAAACAGCTCACAAACAAATGGAAACTTTTTTGAGGCGTCTTCCCTGCGTAATGCATCTGGACTACCTGATACTCTTTATCCATATTTGGTGTGCGCAATTCCCAGCCTTGCGGTATTCTGTTTCAACGCATCTTATAGGTACACATATGACTACATGCAGTATACAGAGGCTCAGTTATGAACCAAAGCCGCCAAAGTCCCATTGCTGCCTGCCCTGGCTACTTCCTGGTGATAGGGTTGTGTATTGCTGCACAATGTTCCAGTCAATCCTATCCCACCACGCCTCGAGGAACTGCCTCTTCCCCCGAACACCGTAGTCCTGCAGCCAGACATGCTCCCAGGTGTTGACGCACAGCAGTGGCACAACATCAACGCCGCCCAACGCCTTCTTGGGCCCTTGGTTTTGCATAGTTGCCGCAGCCCCGAATGCCCCAACCTTGTTCAGCGCTTGGTACGAGTCTGGGTTATGCGTGTTCAGGTCGTGCGACTGTCGTCTGTAGTGGGCGCCTGACAGCGGTGATCCGGCGAGGTAGGTGGGGAGGATGCGCAGACTGCCAACGGCTAGGTCGTCAGTCTGCACCAGCCAGACGAAACCCGGCCCGAACATGGCCTCGGCGGTTGCAAGGAATGTCTCGCGCAATGTGTCCATGGACGAGAAGTCCTTGTTGATCTGCATCTCAAGGTCCTTGGTCGGCCGTGATTGCAAATCCGGGTTTGTGTTGAGGCCGCGGAAGAAGAAGTGGTTGTTGAAGGCCATGCTGGCGACATTGAAGGCATACGCTTTGGTCGGGTCGCGGGCGAACTCAATAACGAGCGCCTTTGCCTCCTGGTTCTCGTACCCTTGGCCTACATTTGCGATATCAGTCTCGGATGGCCCCTCGCATCGCAATGGCAGATGGCATACCGTCAGTCATGGTGTTCAATTCGTCAATCATGTGTTGCTGATAGTCGGTATAGGCCGTCTTGAAGCCTTGCGGCGTGAGCAACCGTGGAATGCCCTTTTTCTCAATTTCCACATGGTTGTCGAGCGCAGGAACGGTGTATTTGTTGCGGGCGAGTGATGGTATTCTCTATTCAGCGTCAGTCCCCCTCCATCACCACCGTCACTGCCACCGCCAGAGCCAAACATACCCTCCAAGCCCCAGCCGCAGACTGAATGGCACCCGGCCGCCGGGCCAAACACCGTGCAATCATGGTATGTGTGGATTAATCGGGCGAGCGATCGAATTGTCGGGCCCAAGTCGTTCCTCCAAGCTCATCTTTTTCCCCGAGCCTGGCGGGCTTCGCGCTAGCCCCGCCCGGCCAATCACGACGCGCCCTCGCCACGACTGCCCAAAACTTCCAAACCGCAAGCGCCCGCATCCCGTTTCACCCACTCAACTGCTGGCGAACGCAGAGCCACACGACCCCAGGAGCCGCCTGCCATTGCCAACCATGCTAGTAAGGCTGTACAGCTGTCCTGCCAGCCATACATTGCATGCTGTCCACTCGGCGCCTCGACTGCTCTATTTGCAGAACATGGCTTGACCGCTCGCCAGCGTCACATGCGGCTCTTGCATCGTTGATTTTTTTTGCTGGTAAATATATTCAAGGTAAAGCGGGTCGGTCGTTTGTCTGTCCCATATGTTTCGCACATCGCTCTTTGCCGTCTGTTTCTCTACTTGTCGCTTTCACAGTCGCTTTGTTTCGTTTCGAGTCACGTTATCGAGCGTCGCCGGTCCGACCTCTTCACTATAATACCCTCGACTATATTCTTCCCATCACTATCACAATGGCTCCAATCACTCCTTCTCCAAGGCTATCACGGATATCCGTCCTATGCCTCTTCATTTTCTTCATCACAACCACACAAGCATCCGCTCTCTTCGTACGCCAAGCACAGACATGTGGAGGCAACGCTGAGCTTCAGCAATGCGGAGGTGACTTTCCGTCTTCCTTCTGCTGTCCCAAGTCTTCTACTTGCATGAATCTTGACAGTGGCTCCGTCAAGTCTGTCATTTGCTGTCCAGCTGGCTCGGACTGCTCTTACATCCAACCCACCACCTGCGATGTCGCACAGCTTAACGCTACCCTACATCCAGAAAACCAGATGCACCTCTCGGGGACTGATGGTGTTGAGCTACCAAAGTGCGGCGATAAGTGCTGCTCTCTCGGATATACATGTCAAGGCAACATGTGTGCCAAAGACACCTCCCCTACACCGTCTCCATCCAACCCCTCTACCCCAACACCCTCACCCTCATCCACTTCCCCTGCCTCTGCATCTCAAACCTCAGATTGCCCAACTTCTACCCCAGTCGAAACAAAATCCTCGTTCGACGGGCGTTCCTTTGCCGCAGGCTTCTTCCCTGGCCTCGTTATCGGTGCCCTGAGCACCATCGCTCTCCTCTGGGTCATCAAGAAGCGCCGTGAATCGCAATCCAAAGAGCGATACTCTGGTGATTTTGGGCATGTAGCACGTCAAATCAGCGACCCAATCTACGACCCCCAGCTTGCCGCACGTACAGATTTCATGCGGAGGGGAAGTCGCTCAGTGGCCTCTTCTCCAAACTCAGCCGACAGGATCGCGCAGGGCATGAAGGAATCCAATAACACTGTCGTTCATGGCTTCACCCCCAGGATCAAAAGCATGTGGGAGCGTACCCCGAAGCTGAACTTTGGCTTCGGTTTACCTGCAACCCCTGCACCTCCTGCTGTTCGGGCAGGAAACCCTTATAACGATCCTTATCAAACACCCCCACCAAAACCTAAGCGCATTCACTCGGCACGCCGCACGAGTTCGAGGCGTACCAGCGCTATACCGCCTCACGTTCAACCCCAATACCAGCAGGGCCGTCCAGGTGTAGGGCGAGTAGACAGTTCTGAAACTATCGATGTGCTGATGCCGACGACGGGAAGTGGATATCCCATGAATCACAACAACGATTCGGGCTTCTTGCAACCCCCACAAGCTCCTGGTATGAGAGGCCCAAACCGCTACACAACGGATTCTGCCCATACGACTTTTACCAAGTTGATGGAGCGGGCGGGGTTTGACGAGGAACCAATGCAGGCAGTCAGAGACTGGAAGACCCCCCGAGTCTAGCATTGGTTCCTTCATTCTCTCTTTCTCTCGGTCTTTCTTTTTCCGAAAAACTACCTTCTTTTCACGTACATACCTTTTTTTTGACTCCCGACATTCTTTACTCATTTCCAGCGCCGGCGTTTTTTTAAAAAGGACTTTCCTTTCACACATACCCACACAGAGGGCATCGCTGTTCTTTGCATATTTTCGGCTTTTAGCATCATCGGTCTTAGGCGGCTTTTGTCTTTATTGTTTGTCAACACTGCATTGTTTTTCTCTTTTGTTCTATGATACCACTATAAATCTGGCAGGTCCCTTTTTATTACGACTGAGTTTCGCTAGAAATTGATGACGAGGTTTTATTTGAGTAGCGAATATCAACGTCTACACTCACTTCTTTGTTCTTGTTCATGCTTTGATAATTTTACAGTGTTCATCATTGCCTTGCACCTGTCTCACTATGCAAGATCATGATTCAATATCGCAATCGCATCAATATTTTTTTTTTCCAAATGTCATGTACATAGCAAGCCATCTCAGGACCTCCCTTTCATGTCCCCGTTGGAAATGACAAAGAAGAAGAAGAAGAAGAAGAAGAAGAGAACTTCTTGACTCTCCAATCCCTTCCTTCCTAAACATCCACCATAACCTCATCCGCATCCGCAATCCTCGCCTCCACAGCCCCCGCCCTCAACTCCCTACCCACCACCCTCTCCATTTCCGTCCTCTCGACGCCCTCACCCTCACCCCGCCTCTTTTTCCCAAACAAACAATGCCAAAGAACATGCTCAGGCACCACCTCGCCATCCCCCTTCTTCCTCAGCAAATTACTCAAAGACGCATTTTCCAACTCGGCCGAATTCGCCTTATCAAGCGCCTGTTCCCCCAGACCCTCGGTACTGCCCTCCCTTCCTTTCGCCTTGGCACGATCCCGCTGAGACGAAGACATGTGCTCCAGCCTCCTCTTAACACTAATCTCGTAAATTGCCTCTTCGACAGTACCAGCCACTAGGTACATGAACACGGTTGTCCCCCTCATCTGGCCAATCCGATGCACCCGACTAATCGCCTGCAGCTCAATCGCGGCGTTAATCAGGGGCTCACAGAGGAAAACGTACGTAGCATTCACCAGCGTCAGGCCTGAAGAATCTGACTTCGCATCAAGCAGCAAGCAGTCGACGCTGGGATCAGACTTGAATCGCTGAATGCCGTCGCGGTCAGCGGTGCTGGTAGCGCTGATTTTCCATTTCTTGAATGCGTCGCGCAGGACGACGAAGAAATCGCTGAATTGGGAAAAGAGGATGGATTTTGCGCCTGGGTCATTGGCGCGGAGCCATAGGAGGTGGCGGGCCAGCATATCGATTTTTGTGCCGTAGGAGCCCGTGAGGGAGATTGTGCGGATTTCGCGCATCGTAGTGTTGCTGATGGAGGAGTAGATGGAGGGGGAGGAGGGACCGGAGGGTAAAGTGGAGGAGGAAGAGGAGGAAGACGAAGACGAAGATGAGGTTGTTTGTGTTGAGAGTTTGAGGCTTGTAGATGTAGTCTCTTCTTGCGCTCTGATTTCAGAAGGCTTGTAGCTAATGTCTTTGAAGTCGGAGGAACTAAGTTTTTGCTTGCAGGTTGGACAGCTGCGGTGGGTGCGCCACCATTGGTTTATACATTCTTTGCAGTATTTGTGGCCGCAGGTTGTTAGGAGGCCGAATTCAATGTCTTCTCGGCAGATGATGCATTCAGCGGTGGTCTCTTTCTGGTTCTCACTTCGGAGGTGCTTCAGGTAAGTGCACTTTGTTTTGAAACCAGCTGCGCTGTCCTTCTTCTGTGCTCGCAAAGCCTCCGTCTCATTGAAAGCGCGAGCGTCAAAAGTTGCGTCGAGGTCTTCCTTATACTTGACAACCGTGTCAGAAATGTGCTGGAATTGTCGGTAGTACTCCAGACGCTGGTTCATGGTGGTTCGAAACATTTCTTGCTCTTTCTCCAACTCGGTGATGGCCTTTGCTTGATCCGTAGCAATAGTTTGTACCTTCTTGAATTGCCCCTGAAGTATGCTCAGTTCCGAAGCGGCGCGTACGTCGCCAGCTTCTGCCTTCCATTGTACGCTGTTGATCAGTGAGCGGATGCCAGATATCACCCCCTTCAAAGACCCAGCTTGCAACATGCTTTTCAGCTTACGCCGCACATTTGCAATCTCAATGACCAGCTCAGGCGCGTGCCCACGATCTGCTCCAGGCTCTTTTTTAAGGGCTTGCCTCTCAGCAGCCTTCATTTCATGTTCGATAAGAGTATCCTGAAGGCCGTGCACAGCAGCATGACGGTCGGCGACCAGTGTGCGCAGAGCCATGATGTAAACGTAGAGTTCATCCTGGACCTTTAGTGACTCATCATACTCCTCGCCAGTGGTCTCTTGATCATCATCATCGTCCATCAAACGTGTCAGAAGAATGTCGACAATCTTCGAGCGCCATTTTTGTATCTGCTGCGTTTGTGCATTCAAAAAGTCGCTGATATTGTCTATCGTATCAAGGATCCTCCGCGCTTCAATGCCACCTAGATTTGGAAGATCATTGATCTTGGCTATCTGATGAAAAGGCTTCTTCGCGTTGATCCTTTCCATATGCTCCTTGGCTCTGGTCTTTGATTCTTTCAAAAGCTCACGTCGGATCACTTTTGCTGCTTCATAATAAGTCGTTTCAGATTTGTCTTTTTCGTGCCAATCTTCTGAATCTGGTTCTGTTTGTAACGGGTCTTCTTTGATTTGGTGGAATGCTGTAGCAGTAAAGAATTGTGCAGCATGCTCAAGCTCCAAGAATGATCGCAGTGACCTCCGTAGGACGGGAATGCGGCCCATGTTCTCGACGTTTTCCTCGTCATCCTCGTCAAGATCACGAAGACTGGCTGTAGATGTCCGACTGAGCTTTTCTTGCTCGGCCGCCAACTCGGCTCTGCACAATGCAATGTATGACTGCGCCTCCAATCGTGCGGCACTATAGTATGGAAGTGCAGAGTTTGCTCTGTTGGCGAAATCTCCAGCATATGCTTGGATGTGACCTTGTTTGAGCAAGCAAAGAATCATCTCACGGGCTTCTGCTTTCCATTTGCTGTCGTTTTGTTCTATCATGATCTCGAGAACTTCATGCACAGTTCGTAAAGTACCATGTCTTGTTCCCAATGCTTTCCGGTTCTTGCGTCCCACGTTCGCATGGAGACATGTCTGGCGTAACCTGACCAGCCACTCTCGCATTCGTTCAATCTGTTCCGCATCCTCTAGTTGACGGCCTTCTTCCAACGGCGAACCCTCGGGTGTGAGCCAGCAAGCATCACACATTTGGCGCATCATCTCATCGTAATGCTGTTCCTCGATAGTAGTAAACGGAATAGTAATGACAATGCGCTTCTGCGGCGGCAGCTGCAGCTCATCTCGAACCTTATCTTTAGTATTCCGCACTGTAATCTCATGAAAAATATCCTTGAAGGAAGACTTGTCGAAATTGCCCCAAACGGCTTTGCTGTCTGCATGAGCATCGCAGCGAAGGAATACTAGAAGGCCACGCAAATCCTGAACATCCTTGCGCAGAGGAGTCCCAGAGACGGCCCAAGCGTTGCAACGTGGTATCATTCGAGCTACTCTGGCGGCCTGACTAACTCCAGTCTCCACCATTTGAGCTTCATCAAGGCAAACCCTCCACCAAGATATCCCCATGAGCGGGCTGCTTCGGCGCTCACGACGGTTAGTGTGCCGAGAACTACGATCCGGAGGAGGAACCGCGAAATGAATTTCGCGAGAGAGAACCTGGTATGTGGTTACAACTACATCGTGTTGCATAAGATGGTCAACCGTTGCTGCTGCATGGCGATCTTTGGGTGCTGATGCCGGCGGGAGCCCTGTGTAATGACAGACCTTGAGCTCGGGTGCGTGGACATGCATTTCGCTTATCCACTGCTCCAGAATGGAGGACGGGGCGATGATCAATGTAGCTCCAGAAGGTTTCACATGGGCCCCTGTATATGCGTCGTAGACGTTGCCTTGAGGGATTTCTCGCTTGTGGTGCGACATGAGGGCAATCAGTTCGACTGTCTTGCCCAGACCCATCTCCTCCGCAAGTATTCCGCCTCTCAGTAACCTCAGTTTATCCGCTGTGGCCTCAGATAGATCAGTTATTATAGTACCCCGGAGCTGGCTTACATAGCACAATCGCCCTGTCGCATCCTGTTTTGGCCTGAACGATGTTGGCGGTGAAGTATTGACGAAAGGTTGGAGCGCACCCGAGGGAGAGAAAGTGACTCCTTCCCGTCGGAGAAGCCAATCCACTGTCCTTTGCTGGAATGGCAACAGTTTCGTCTCGGTCAATGCCTGCCCAATACGGGGTGAAACCTTGAGATCCCGTGGTGGAACATGGACTGAGTCATAGAAATCAGACAGAGTCCATGTGTTGTTGTCCTGCGGAACGGCATCATTCATATAGGCAGAGAGCAGCTTAAGGTCCTCTTTGGCGCAGTGACCGCGAATAGTCTCATCTTCAACTACTGATATGCCCAGCATCCAGCGTATCTCAACTTCCAACTTGTATGCGACTCGTTCAGATGCGGACCGACGTAGGAGACAGCGACAAAAGGCGGCCCTAGGTCCAGACTTGGACATTTTCCCGTGTCGCGTGGTAGCAAGCGTGGCGGCGTTCCGAAGATGCGGTAGTATCGAATCTAGCAGAGAGGCGGGGGCTGTGACAACCATTTCCACTCCCGTGTTCCCGACCATGTTGAAGACCTCCATATGGAAAACTGACTGGGAGGGATCTCTTCGAACCTTTTCCAATGCAAGTGCTATGGATTCTTGCGACCCAGCCGAAAAGTATGTCATGCTTTCATCCTCGCACGAGGTAGTAGGCATGTTCTGCAATTCACGTAAGTCTAGTAGTACCATGGAAACGAAGTACATGTACCCACCAAATCCAGAGATATCTTGACCAGAACAACGCTCTTCTCATCGCTGAACTCTTGTGGTGGTTTTGCGGGGACAGCGTCGTCAT